ATTAACCTTTTAGGAATTCTCTCGTTACTAAGCCCAACAACTTTACAAGCCCATTTGATTCGCCGCGATGAAATTACCTCAACTATATTACCCGAATACAGCTCACGCAATTCAGCGTTGTGTAACCGTCTGAACTCTCCGGTTAACTCATCCTTCTTCGGTCCGAATATTCTACGCAATACTTTATTTTCAAAGACCTTAAGACGCTGCTCATCCCTTAATGTAAGCGGCCAAGTTTCGCATCCATAAAGAACTGTAGGCAAGATAATTGTTTTATAGATTCTAATTTTTAAGTTTCGGGACAAGAGGCGCGAACTAAGTAGTTTTGTCACAGAAAAATAACAAGCATTCCCCGCCTTCAGTCTAACCTTAATCTCTTCTTCAATTTCGTTTTTTCTAGTTATCGTAGAACCTAGATACCTAAATTTATCTACCTGTTCAAACATATTACCATCTATATCGATATCACCAGTATTATCGCCATTTTTGCAGCTAACCATATATTTTGTTTTATCCACGTTTATTTCGAGTCCTAGTTCTTTACCGGCTTTCATTAACGTTGTCGTATTTAGTTTTATAGTTTCAACGTCTTCGCTTAACAGTACCAGATCATCAGCATAGCCCAGCACGGATGTTGTCCCGCCCAGATCCAACCCTTTGTCGGTTCGCATTACCTCCCTAACGGCATGTTCTAATGCCAAATTGAACAGGACAGGCGAAAGAGAATCCCCCTGTTTTAAGCCCGAACGAACCTCAAATTTTTCGGACAAATTATTACCGATTCTAACTTTATTGAGTGTATCCGTCAAGCACATCCTGACTAGATTTACTAGTTTTTTTGGAATCCCCTGCTCGATTAGAATATTATACAGTTTCTGGCGGTCAATAGAATCGTAAGCCTTTTTAAAATCTATATACAGCTGGTGAACAATACCGTTATACTCCAATTTTTTCTCTAATATTTGCCGTAAAGAAAATATTTGATCAATAGTCGAACGATTCCGTCTAAATCCGCATTGGTAGTCTCCGATAATTTCCTCGGCGTATTCCGTGATTCGACTGGTTAAGATTAAAGTGAATATTTTATAACATACCGGAAGGAGTGAAATTCCTCGATAGTTATTACAATCCGTCCTCGGACCCTTTTTGTGAATCGGAATAAGAATAGATTCTTTCCATTCTTCAGGTAATTTCTCGTTCACCCAGATCTTTTTAACCAACCGATGTATTTTAGAAACTCCAGCTTCCCCGCATGCCTTAATTAGTTCAGTAGAAATATTATCGGTTCCCGCTGCTTTATATGATTTTAATTTTCCGATAGCTACTTCAACTTCCTCTTTACTTGGTCCTTCTATCAACGGTTCAGCACTCTGGTACTCAGAAGGAGGACACAGATAATAATTTCCCGTATTTAAAATATTGTCAAAGTGGTCCTTAAACTTATTCAATATGTCAACCGGATCGGTCAGAATATTGTTATTATCATCCCTAATTCCAGACGTTACGGGCCCTACATATTTACGTGATCTGTTTATACCTTTGTACATGTCTCTTACGTTATTTTCGATTCTATTAGTTTCTATTTCAATTATTTTATTTTTAAGATACTCCCTTTTTTTATTTTTGAGCAATTTTGTCGTTTCGTTCTTTGAGATTCGGAAGTAGTCCAGATTGTCTTCGCTAGGATTATTTAGAGCTTTTAATTTAACGGCTTTTCTTTTTTCGCACATGTTTAAGCAATCTTCATCAAACCACGGTTTGTTATTCTTATTTTCCTTTTTTCCTAGACACGAGTTACCGACCGCTTTAATATTATCTCTGATCTCTATCCATAACTTGTCAATATCCTCGTGGTCCTCGTCAGGAAGCTCTAAAGCTTCAAACCTATTCTTAACATCTAGCTCGAATTGGTTTCTAATTGATGGGTTTTTTAATTTTTCCAAATTAAAATTCTCAAAATCGAAACGGTTTTCTTTTCTCTTTTTTATATTAAGTTTTTGTCGAAGTTTCGCGATTACTAATTCATGATCCGACCCACATTCTGCTCCGCGATAAGACCGTACATTAATTATACTGCTTTGCCAGCTGTGTTGTATCAAGACATGATCGATTTGATTTCGTGTTTGCGAATCCGGTGATGTCCAAGTATATTTATGAATATCCTTATGTTTAAACGTCGTACTTTTAATTATCAGGTTTTTCGAAATGGCAAAGTTTATCAGACGGATCCCATTATCATTACTATATTCGTGCAAACTTTCTTTACCAATCGTCGGAATATAAACTTCTTCCCTTCCTACCTTTGCGTTCGCGTCACCTACAATTATTTTCATGTAGTTTCGCGGTAGTTTATCATAAACCCATTCGGGTTTATCGTAAAATTCACTTTTGACTTCATCGTCACTGTCTTCGGTCGGACAATGTATGTTTATTAATGCGATTTTAAACCAACGTCCCTGAAATGTAGCTACCGAAATTCTATCACTAAAGAATTGTACGTCCCTCAAAGCGGATAGTAATCTACTCCTAATTAGAAACCCGGTACCTAAACAATGATTCCCGCTTCCTCCGTACCAAATAGTGTACTTCCCTTCCCTCATCGAGCCCTCCCCTGGCCAGCGAACCTCTTGCAGAGCCACGACATCCAAATTGTACCCATTTACCTCATTCGCGACCGATTTTAGCCCCCCTGCTGTGTTTAAACTCCTTACGTTCCACGTACCAATATTTAAATCCCTATATTTCAACTTGCGCCATGAATCCCCTAAAGCAGTCCCCACCCGGAGACCCGAACGGGGGACTAGTTTACTTCCGGATAATGAGCGTTTTACCTTAGGGAGATCCATGACTATTTGTGGTGTTTGGTGAACTAAAGATATGTGAGTAGGGCGTTCAATCCTACGTCACACCCTCCAGCAAGTCTGGTGGGCCCCTACCTCCAGCAAGTCTGGAGGTCCCCTCCCTCCAGCAAGTCTGGAGGGCCCCTCTCATTGTTGGTCAGCGAGTCCATCGGACTTAGCCGGGAGGAACTTCCAAGGAATTTCCAACGACCATCCCCACATCCGCCACCCGTGAGACGCTCCCCATACGCGGTAATGAGCCCGCGTGAGGCATAGTAATAAATATATAAAAATAGAAATAAAAGTAAAACAAACACCTTATATAAAACATACCTATAACATTATTTACAATTTGCCAGGTGATCTCCGAACCAATCCTGTCCCCTCCACATGTGGAGGGAAAAGGGAGGCTTAGGAGATCCCTACGCTTCTCCCTCAGCCACTTCACTGGTATAGATAGGTTTTAAGCTTGAAGAGCAATCCGGTGTGCCATACTCGGTCAAATGCTTGCGCAATGTCTAGAAATGCACCCTAGCAATATTGCTTGTTTTCTAGGGCTAAGGATATGCGGTCAACAACTCGGAGACATTGTTGGACAGTGGAATGTTGGGAACGAAATCCGAATTGATGCGTAGGAAGGTTTTGAAATTCTATTATGGGTAGAATTCGTTTCAGTAGAATCTTTTCAAAGATTTTTGAAAGGATGGGAAGTAGGCTTATTGGTCTATAGGATGTTGTGTTATTAGAAGGTTTACCTGGTTTCAGAAAAAGGATGATGACAGAGTGTTTTCATAAGAGAGAAAATTGGGTAGTAGTAAGATACAATTGTATATATATATATATATATATATATATATATATATAAGTGAGGAATGTGATTGCTTTGGATGGAAGTTGCCGAAGGATCTGCGGGATTAGAAGGTCGTATCTAGGAGATTTACGGGAGATAGTTTTTGTAAATGATGTTTGACCTCAGAAGGATTAACAGTTTTTGTTGGTAAGGAGAGTCGGATAGGTGAAGAGAGGAATTCTACTTTTGTTGTGTGGGTAGTCCCTATACTTAAATTTCTAGTTTTCAACTTGCGCCATGAATCCTCTAAAGCAGTCCCCACCCGGAGAACCGAACATGGAATTCATTTGCTTTCGGATAATTAGAGTTTTACCTTAGAAAGATCCATGATTGTTATTATCATGAATGCAGAGCTTTCTATCCTTCGTCACACTCTCCAGCGAGCTTCTCTAATTGTTGGTCAGCGAGTCTCGGAGTAGCCTGGAGGAACTTCCGAGGAATTTCCACGGACCATACCCACATTCACTACACATGGGGCGCTCCCCTCCGCGGTATTGAATTTGCGCTTAGGTTGAATAATGAATAATGAATGAAAATGCGAACAATATCCAACACTGGCGAAATTTATTATTCTGGACTCATTAGGAATCCTACACCGTCACCTGTATTAATTTTTGTAACTTCGTTATGAGCTCTACGAACAGATGTGAAAATGATAGCATTCGGTAATTTGTATGATAGTCCCACTGAACTCTCTGTCTCCCTCTCTCTCTCCCTCTCTCCCTCTCTCCCTCTCTCCCTCTCTCCCTCGCTCTCTCTCTCTCTCTCTCTCTCTCTCTCTCTCTCTCTCTCTCTCTCTCTCTCTCTCTCTCTCTCTCTCTCTCTCTCTCTCTCTCTCTCTCTCTCTCTCTCTCTCTCTCTCTCTCTCTCTCTCTCTCTCTCTCTCTCTCTCTCTCTCTCTCTCTCTCTCTCTCTCTCTCTCTCTCTCTCTCTCTGTCTCTCTCTCTCTCTCCCCCTCTCTCCCACCCCACCCCTCACACTCATTCTCTCTCTCTCTCTCATTCTCTCTCTCTCTCTCTCTCTCTCTCTCTCTCTCTCTCTCTCTCTCTCTCTCTCTCTCTCTCTCTCTCTCTCTCTCCCTCTCTCTCTCTCTCTCTCTCTCTCTCTCTCTCTCTCTCTCCCTCTCCCTCTCTCTCCTCTATGATTATTAATTCTTTATTATTGTTCTATATATTTTCCTTTATATTCAATTCATTAATAGTAGTATGTAGTAACATGGATTACTACTGATTATACTTAAGGGTTCTAGTCTTTTTAAAATATTTAATTGGATTACAAATTCCATGTTTATATTTTTATCTTATGTTTAGGCATGAGCATCTTAGGCAACATGAAATTCATAAAGGGCATGACGCGATGCATGCTGAAATGATTATTATTTTATTTATTACACTGATTGGAGCTCAAGTTATTCTAGTTGAATGGAAAAGAAGACACCATAGATCTTACCAAGTAATTATAATTTTACTGAGGTATTAAGTGTTTTATGTTTATTTTCAACATGTCAAAATATTCTTTTTTAAATATGTTATTTATTTACATTTTAATCTTGACAGAATATTGTTTGGATTGGATTTCTTGGATCTTTTTTTTTTGGAGGGGGTGTTTTGTAAGTCTTTAAACTGTTCAGTTTAATCATGGAGCTTCTATTAGCTAAGTGGATTGATTCATTCATAAATCTTATGAGATTATTTGTATTCCATGATAATTGCATGTAACAAACTTTCAAAACTATTACAACAGATGGTATAATAAACTGTTTCGCCATTTCTTTTACTTGTAGACGATACCGTCAACTTAAGGTTGCACTTCTTGTTTGTTCATTGTTTATTTCTAATCTTAATCTTTCTATATAATTTTTCCTTTTTCTGGTAAATTAATTTTATCCGAGCCATATTAAAATTTCGTTAATCTTTTCTTTTTTGTTTTTCCTCTCTAACCTGACAAAAAAGAAATAATCAAAAAACCATGATCATGGATGATAGGGCTGAAATTTGTTGGAGAGATAAATTATTAGCTTTGGGCTTGGGGTAAGTTTAAGAAATACTAGGTTATTAGTAGTAATTAACAATGGAATCAGGTCTCCGGTCAGCGGCACCCCTTGGACCGTGGAACCACTGTCGTCCCACCCATGCGACTGTCCTGCCCACAACTTCAAGATTTTATAGGAATTTACGATGAGCAGAGACACCATTTTATTGAGGATAAGTGGATTTACACTCCTCTCTCATTAATTTGTAAGCCCAAATATTAGAAAATTTCAAAATTCTATGTCTGGGGTGTCTTGAATTAAGAACTTATATACAGAATTTGGGATTATTATGAATTTGGAATTCAGTAATTTGACAGACTGGTTAAAACTTTTGTGAAAATCACAAGGTTGTTATACTTTCTAAATAAAACTCATAAAAACTATTTAGTGATACCAATTTCCCAAATATTTTCAGTGGATAGATCACTGTGGGATATATGCTAGACCCCTCTGTAATGGGGAAGATTTGTGAAAATTTTGCAGTTTCGGCTCCCTAAATGCTGTTTTACAGAGTGCTTATCGGTTCTAGTAAAGTCAGGAAATTTTACCAACCTTACAAGGAATAAGAATAGGGGAATTTCACATGCGAGAGGATGCGAAGTGCGAATTTTCTGATATGATTCAGAATCATTGTTGGTCACAAAAACTTTCACTTACTACCCTCTTCTTAGCAGAAATAAGTATTTTTAGACAAAGGGTACTGGTACTGGTGGAGGGACTTAGTCCAGCAAGTGGGCCTATTGGTCCTTTTCGCCAACCCCAAAGATGATACTACCAGTGGTAGTCTATTGTACCTCTACTCTGTCTCATACATTTTTGTTCTTTTAATGAAGTTCAAAAGGTTGGGCCATTTTATGGAGTTAGCTTTACATACTTGGATTCTGTCTGCTCCCAGAAGTCTGTATCTGAGTGACGCAAATCGGTCACATTCCGTTATGAAGTGAAGGGCAGTTTCAGGTGCACTTCTGCAGAGATTACAGAGTTCATCATCCACTATCCCACAGATCTTTAAATGTCTTTTAAGTCTGCAGTGGCCTGTTAGTACTCCGATGATGAGTCGGATTTCTTTCCTAGTTAGGCCCAGCAGCCACTTTGTTTTGTAGGGAGAAGGGCTTTTAATAAACTGTTTCGCTTGTCTAAGCCCCGTGCATTCCCTCCATTCTTTATCTGCTTTTTTCCAGATCCAATCAAGGATTTCTTTCCGCTAATGCTTTTTGGATATTCCTATTGCAAGTTACATTCCTTTCCTTGCAATGGCATCTGCTTTTTCATTTCCTTTAATTCCCTTGTGACCAAGAACCCACACTATTTCTACTCTCCTGGAGCAGGCCAGTGTCTCCTACGCCTGTTTACACTCCTGCACTAGTGTGGAGGTCACTTTGGGAGACTCCAATGCTTGTAGTGCCGACTGACTATCCGAATAGATAGTGATGCCAGCACTCTCGCAATCGGTAACTTCTAAACAGGTGGCTGCAGAAATTATAGCAAACACCTCTGCTTGAAATACTGTAACATGTTTACCTAGTGGTATGCTTAGTTCTATATATAGGTTCTCTATATAGACTCTTGCGCCTGTTAAACTAGTTGAGTCTTTCCTTGAACCATCAGTAAAATAGAGCAGGTAGTCCTTTTAAGTTTCTACCGAACTCTGTGCCTAGTCTATTATGTTAGAGTACAGGAAGCTAACATTACTATCTAAAGTAAGATTTTTATCAAGCAGCGGAGAGAGGTACCGTTAGATAGGTAACTCGTTTTCCACCTTCGTGGCTATTTCTAAGTGGCCGGTGTGTATCCTGTTAATTTCCACCGTCTATTTATCCTTGGTTCGAGTCGTACCTCATCGATTGCGGATGTGCAGGCATCCTCCTGTACTATCGGCAGGTGATGTGAAGCCGTGGCGATTTTAATCGCGGAGCCTGAGACCAATCATGCTCTGAGGTCAGGGAAGAGATTTTTCCCGACTAAATTGGTACCACGGGGCGTCGCCGGAGCCCTGGTGGCGCTTTGGGTGAACAGATGAGCGGACGAAGCTGTGAGAAGTAGGGTTAGTCCGTTCCGTGAGCACCGGTTGTGTGCTTACACCTCTTGGTTCTATCCGGGGTGTAAGGCCAGGCTGGTGCTGGTTAAGACCTTCGGGTTAGGTATGGCCCCAGTCGGTGACTTGTATTCCATAGTATAGCCGTATCCGCTGTTTATTTATCCTTCATTCTTAAAAATGCCATAGCCGCCTCACCTATTATCCATAGGTGTAACGGAGTGCCCCAGTAATGCTAATGCAGACCATTCTTTGAATGCGACATAGCATTCGCATATGAGTGGCCTTATTTAGAGCTATCAACCACATGATTTTTTAAAAGCTTTTAATTTGCTAGGTGGGCTTTCGTTCCACATAGATTGCCAACTATCCAATATTTCTTTTTTAATAGGAAAACTCATTTCTGGAGGGATCAGGATAGGAGTACCTCGGTGTGGAAGCGCGAGTGCCTGTTTGGCTGCCGTATCCGCAAGCTCATTACCAACTATACCCACGTGACTGGGAACCCATATAAAACCAACAGATTTTCCTAAATTTTCCAGAGTGTGAAGATATTTGTGTATTTTAAGGATAACTGGATGTTTTGAGTGCATATCATTTAAACCCTTTAATGAACTCAAGGAGTCGGTTATCAAGACTATTGAGGCTGGAGTTATTAACATACAGAAGTGGAGGGCTGAGGCTATTGCATGAAGTTCCGCTGTGTATATGGTGCTTAGTTTATGTAGTTTTATTTTATGTGTGAAGTGATGGGTAACAAACGAGCAAGCTGTAGCATCATCGGATTTCGAACCAGCAGTGTAAATTAAAAATGGATCCGGAATATTTTGTAGTAGACGGGAAAATTCCGTTTTGTACGCGTAATGTGAGGTATTGCTTTTGATTAATCGAGAGAGACGGAGCATCATTTTTGGGGGTTTGTAGATTCAAGGTGGGTTTTGGTTTTCTATATTGAATAAAGGTAAGTTCTTAAGGGATTCAGCTGCTGAATAAATTCTTTCTGACAGTGGGAGTATGGAATTGGTTTTGTTTCTAAAAGCGTTTGAAAATTTAGGTTTAAAAATGTAGTTGTGAGTGGGATGTTTATTTTGGGGAAGTAGCCTTGAAATGTAGTTAACGGCCGGTTTTTTCCTTCTAAATAAATGAGGGGGTATTCCTGCCTCAGAGCAGAGACTAAGGATGGGGCTTGTTCGAAATGCACCAGTTGCTATCCTAATGTCTGGATTGTGGACTGTATCGAGTTTGTTTAGGATCCGATAGCTGGCAGAACCGTATATAAAGCACCCATAGTCTAATTTCGAGCATACCAGAGCTTGATACAGTTTTATTAACGTAAGTCTGTCTGAGCCCCAGGAAGTGCCGCTTAGATAACGTAAAGTAGTTATTCTTTTTGTAGTGGCTGTTTTTAGAGCAAAATTGTGCGGTTCTCAAGTTATTCTTCGGTCAAAGATCATGCCCAAGAGCCTATGTTGGTTCGAGTACGGGTTATGGAATTTTCGAGGTAGATTTTGGGTGAGTTAGGGGTGTTTCTTTTTCGACTGAAATGTATGCACTTAGTTTTTGCGGAAGAAAATTGGAGACCAATAGAAAGAGACAAGTTGTTGATTCTATTAACAGCGTCCTGTAGTTTGTTTCATATAGTAGTCAATGTTGCCAGATCGGCAGAGAATGGCTAGATCATTCGCGAATAGAAGCGGTTTAACACCTCTTGGTAAGTTAAGGCCCAAGTCATTTATCGCCAGGCAGAACAGAGTTGGGCTGAGGACACAACCTTGAGGGACCGTTGAACTGATGGTGGCTCTCGGATAATTCTCCTCCTATTTGAACTGTAAAGTGTCGGTGCTTGAGAAATAGTCTAATATAGTCTTACATTTGGCCTCTAATTCCTACGGATGATAATTTACTGAGGATAATGGAGTGATTTATATTATCAAAAGCTTTTTTCATGTCGAAAAATATGGCTATTGTCTGTTGTGCGTTGATAAAAGTATATTACGTTTCGGCTTCTAATGTAAACTAAATGATCTAATGTACATAAACCCTTACGGATTCCCGATTGAAAAGGGTGAATTAAATTGTTGTTCTCTATTATCCACATTAGTCTTTTATTAATCATCCGCTCCATTAATTTACTTAAGCAGCTTGTGAGAAATATAGGGCGATAGCTGGTTGGTAATCGTTTATCATTAACGCTTTTCAGGATTGGGATGACCACTGAATCACGCCATTGATTCGGGAACTGTCCAGTGGACCAGACATGATTATAATAACCGAGTAACCATTCTAGTGTATTACCTGAGAGGTTTTTTATCATGTCATAGTGGACCAGGTAAGGACCAGGGGTTGAGCCTTTAACAGTTCTTAATATGTTTTTGAGTTCCTATA